CCCCCCCCCCCCCCCCCCCCCCCCACACACACACACGCGGCGTCGGTTCGGTTGGCTCACTGGGTGTCCTGTCTGTCTGTCTGTCTGTCTGTCTGTGTCGGCACGTGTGCGTGACCGACCAGGTTCGAGTGTGCCGATCGGTATTCACCCTTCAAAGGTGGTCATCACGAAGCTGAAGCTGGACAAGGACCGCAAGGCGCTGCTGGACCGCAAGAACCGGGAGACCAGGAAGGGCGGCAAATACGACAGGGACGTGCACATGTCCAGAGTCGATTGAGGAGACAGACAAGACACACAGGGTGGCACAACGGTGCTTGCCTGGTTCTGTGTCGTGCGTTCTGCTCGTGGGCCGGGCCGCAGCCTTTGTGGCTGGCTGTCTGCTGATGGATGGGAGTGAGTGATGCGCTGAATGACTGGATGCGTGTAAGACATGGATGCGCCTTGTGTGTTGACTGACGATGGACAGACAAATTTCCCCCTTTAACAGCTAGCATGCCATACATGTCAGTCACGACCCGCCCAGAGAGTGAGATAGTGAGGGAGGGCTGCTCGACCAGGCTGCTCCACAGGTAAGCCTACCGCTCCTGTCTATCCTATCCATCCATGTCAAAAGATAGATGATTCATCCATGTACAAATCGGATCGGATGCAGTCAACCATGAGTTCGCCCATCAGCCACGTCCATCCGAATGCATGCCCTTATCTACACATCCACGAATTCCATCCAAGTGTCTGCCTGCCTGCCTGCCTGTCTGCACACCCCTCATCTAGCCCCTCGCCAACCCCCGTCAGTCAGCCAGCCAGCCAGCCAGCCAGCGGCAGTATGTATGGCTACTATCTATCTACGAGTCCAGATCAGATTGCCACCCGCTGCCTGTCCCTCCCCCGTCACCCGTCAATGTGCATGTCGTCCCCCTCCTCCTCTTTGATCTCCACCTTGGGCTGCTTGGCGGACCGGTCCTCCTCCTCTAGGGGCTCGCTCTTCACATCCTGATTATTGATGGATGCCAACCAACACCACACAACGAACGACCCGTGTGGACAGGCGTGTCTCTCTTGTAGACGTGCTCAGAGAGATACATACATACATATGCATACTCTTTTGACGCCCTGCTGCAGCACGGGTCTGGCAGCCGTCAGGCTCTCAGGCGGCAGCTGCAGTGCACCACACGACACACACCAATCCATGCATGAGAAGTGGGTGGGTGGGTGTGCCTCCCTCCTCCCTCCTGTAGCCAGGTGTCTGCATGTAAGTTGTGTGGGGCGTCCGTACGTATTTGTGGACGTCCTCTATCATGTGTGTGGCCTCAGCCTTGAAGTCGATGGGGTCTGCGTTCTGTATGTAGCCCTTGGGACGCACTTCGCCTTGGTACAACTCGGGCTTGCAACGAAGAACCACCGTGTACTCCTGATGGATGGATGGATTGATATATCGACACACAAACGAGTGACGGGACACGACATACCACGATTGAAGATGCGAGTGCGTGTCTGTGTGTGTGTGTGTATGTGTATGTGTATGTGTGTGTATACCTCATAGGTGGCAGTTCCGAGTGCGCCAATGTGTTTGTCTATGTCCTCTGTCCTGCCCTCCTCCTCCAGCTTCTTGTACGTACTAGCCTCCATGCACAACAACTTCTCACCTTAATCAATCAATAGACCGATGGATGGATGGACATACCGACACGCATACATACATACATACAAGACACCCCACCCGGGGGCAGTTTGATGTGTATGTAAGTCAGTATGGATGGCTGGCAGGCATGTGCCACCTACGTACGTACCGATTTCGTGTGTGATGGTGACGAGGCCGCTGTGGGTGGTGTCGTTGATGGACGCAGGGAAAATGAACCTGCACGTCACATACCATGCACGCCAAACAAGGGAGGGACGAGCTCTCTCTGGCGATTTGAATGAATGTGTCAAAGAAGGTGAGGTACTGTCTTACTTGGGTTCGGGGAGGACGGCCTTGTCACATGTGATGCAGCGATAGGCGGAGTTCTCCTCAACGCACTTCTTGCGACACGCAGGGCACGCCTGAAGGAAGGCACGCACCAAACATACACCATAACACACACACACACAGGTGCATCCACCCGTCCCACACATGTGTGTCTCTCGTCGGTCTGTCTGTCTGTCTGTCTGCCCGTCCCTTAGGTCCGTCGTGCGTACCGTAGCGTACCATGTATGTGAGTGGTATCTGGTTGGACCCGCCCTCCTTCTTTTGCATCTCACGCCGGACCACAGCCAGACGGGCAAACGCGCGGTAATACGATAACTGCAGTAACCATGAAGGATGAATGGCGGGAGGGTGGGCGGGGGGGATGGATGGTTGTTAATGTGATGGAGCACACATGCAGAGGTCTGTCTGTCTGTCCTGCCTTGGTTCTCTCTCTCCAGGTGTAGGCAGGTACGTACCTGATCTACCTCCCAGGTGTCCTCCTCCTCCATTATCTGCCGCAGCGTCTGCAACCACACACACACACACAGCACAGCACAGTACCAGCTGTGTGTACAGTGAGATGGTTAGCTTGCATGCTCACGGCGTCTTTGATTTCCCTTCGTCTGCCCGTCCCGCCCTCCCCGCCCCCCGGACCAACCATCATGCCCGCATAACGGGCACTGCTACCGTGCTGAACACGCCATGACATGACACACACGCAGGGGGACAGGCACACACAGACAGACACCACACAATACATTACACACTAAAAGTTGGATTTGGCAGGCAGTCCCTAGTTGGCGTTGGTGGGCTGCCTGCCTGCCTGCCTGGCTGGCTGGCTGACTGACCTGTGTGTACCATTCCCTGAGTTGTTTGGCCTTTGGGTCATCGCAGCCCTCGTACACCACACGACTGCTGCGCGTCGAACTACCGGACAACATACCTGCACACACACACACACGTATCCACCCAGGTGATTCGCCGGGATGTCTTTGTGGGGGGGTCGGTCGATATGGGTGCATTGCATTGCATTGCATGTAAGTGTGTGGGTGGGTGTGTGTGTGTGTGGGTGTCCTTCCTTCGTGGTGTGTGTGACCTTGGTATTCCTTCATGAGTACGTCTTTGAAGGCCACGACAGGGTTGTTCTTGAGCTTCTCCTCCGACACCTCAGCCTACATGTAATCGTGGAAGCCAAGCCAACACACTTCCCATATATCCACACATGCACAGTGTACGTACGTATGTATATCCCTTCTCCTCCCCTCCCCAGGGTGGGTGTGCGGGTGTGTGTGTGTGTGTGTCGGGGGGCTGGAAGGGTTCCTCCCTCCCTCCCTCTAGGCCTACCTCTTTGCCGATCAGTGCGAGGTCGATTTGGTGTTCGCTGTCGTCGACGAGTGTGAGTGCACGTTTGGCGAGGGATATGGTCTTGTTATCGCGTGTGAATGTGATGGTCTCGGGCGGGCGGAAGGTCTTGACGACGGCTATCAGGTCCACGGGGAACGGACCGTTGTGCTTCTTGGCCTTGGCCCTGATCTCACGCAAATCCATAAACGAAAACCTGCACACAACACACACACCCATAAATGAGGACACACGGAGGCAAACATGCACGCGTATATGGGGAATGGGGGGGGATGCAAGGGTGCGGTGCGGGCGGCATCGTGCCCATCCATATGTGTGTGTGTGTGTGGCTCTAGGCCTAGAGGCAGGGTGGCTGGCTGGCTGACCGTGGTGCGGTAGAGATTCTCCTGTCATCGGTGCAGTGCTGGATGCTGGCGGCGCCGTCGAAGTGGATCTCATAGGCGTGCTGGGTCCTGTTGTAGCGCGAATTCGCTATCCGCACCGTGCCCTGGCTGAACGTGTACACCTGCACCGCATCCAGCATTGAGAGAGAGAACCACCTTTGACACACGTAAGTACCCTCACCCCTTGCCACACCATCCCCCATCCATCCATCGACTCAGGTCTCCACCTCACCTCTCCCTCTACGATTTTGTCATGCCACTGCTCGGCAGCAGTGCCCCAGAACTGAGCCCTGATCTCGTCATCCTGCACACAACACATATAAGCACACACCGCACCGTATGCATATATCGCCTCTCCGGCGTTCTCTCAATCTACAGACGTCATGGATCCATCCATCCATCCATCCATGCGTACATCTTTGTCGATGAGTGTGACGCTGAAGACGGCGCCTTCGCCGACGGCGGGGGGTTTGCGTTTGAATCGGTTGAGCTCCGACTTCTGCGTCACGCGGGCCTTGATGGTCCACCGGGCGAAGTGGGTGCTCAACTCACGCACGGGGAAGTACTCAGTCGGATCCGCATCACCCGACATCCCTCGCGGATGTCGCCTGAGCCCTCTGCGCGTGTGTTTGGTTCCATACAAACTCCAACTCCCAGAACCCTGGGCGTAAATTGACACGCACGATTCGTCAACTCAGTCTCATCCTACATCTACACCAAGCCACCCAGCTAGCTACATCACACACATGCCTCCTCCCTCGCCCGCTACTAGCCCACCCAAGGCATTGCGAGCTGCACTACCCGACCGCCCGCCTCAGTCAGGTCACCTCACTCACTCCATGCTTCACTCATGACTTGAGTCGGTCGGCCAGCCAGCCAGTGGGTCAGTCGAGGACCACACAGTCGGGCTGCTCCTTGTCCTTGGCTGGTGGTGCATCCCTCTGTGCTGCACCGAGGGCAGAGCCCTTGAAGCCACAGCGCTCGGCAGCGGGTTTCGGGGGCTCCGGAGGCACACCGCTGCCGTCATCCAACTCTGATCGATCACACAGAACACCACACGCACATTCACAGGGGGGTCGATGGACGGATGACGCATGGATCGGATGGATGGATGGATGACGGATGGATGGATGGGTGCATGATATGATGCGTGTAGCCCGGCCTGCCTGCCTGCCTGCCTGCCTGTGTGGGTGGGTGGGTGGGTGGCTCTGCTGCCACCTGACCTGAGAAGTCCAATATGTAGTTGGGTAGGTTGTCGTCGCTGCCGAGTGGGTGGTCGGTGGACACCTCGTACTGGAAGGTCGAGTGCTCCGTCGCACCCAGGTGATGCAGCGTGTAGGAGGCCGTGGTAGGCGTCATCTTCACCAGGCCCTTGGGCGTCGTCAGCCACAGACGAAACTTGTAGAAACCCGCATCCGCTGGGCAAGCAAGGAAGGGAGGGAGGGAGGGATATAAAAGAAAGAGCGAGGCGCACACACACATACGGATGACAGACAGACAGACAGACAGACAGCCAGACAGACAGACAGATATAGAGAGATAGACACACAGATAGGGAGCCTGTCTGCCTGCCTGTCTGTCTGTCTGTCTGGCCGTGAGCAGCGGGTGTGTGCGTTTGGTGTGTGTCCTGTCTGTCCGTCCCCGCGATGCACTGCACTGCATATGTATGGCTTACTCATGACGGCGTCGAAGACCTTGGACCATGCGTCCTGGAAGGAGTCGGTGCTGGCGACATTGATGGTCTTGTTGGCCCCGCCCGCACGGGTGCGTGGGCCGGCCCTCGGGGCCGCACCCTCAGTGTGTTTGTTGTGGATGGCCAAGTCACGCGAGTCGAAGTTGCGGCTCTCCTCGGCTATCTCGTCCGCCTTCTCCTTCAAACAACTCGCACACGGCTCCTCGGTCCACAGCAAACCGATGCTCAACACAGACCTGAACACACACACACACACACGCACACACACACGCACACGCACACGCACACGCACACACACACATATACCTTGACAAACAATGTCACATCTTCCCTCCCTCCCTCTCTCTCCCGCTGTCCGTCCGTCCGTCCGTCCGTCCGTCCCTTGCACGCAACGCCACGGCCACTTGTCTGGCCCCGCCCATCTACCTACCTTTTGGGATTGTCTGTAGTGTCTTGAAGTGAGCCAATGTCGTGGAACCTCCGGCCACCGTGGGTGGTGCCGCCCCCGACCACCTCGCCATCCAGCTGCTGCTGGCCACCGCCCTCACGTGGCTGCCAGATGAGCTGGAAGCCCGGCCAGGTGTCCTTGTCGCAGTCCGGGGCCTTGGGGAACAGGTCGCTGCTCATGAGGTAGTCGAACTCCTCCTCTGTCGCTATCATGTATCGCCGGCTCACCGTCTGTGGCAGCACGAACTGGTGCCGCGAGACGCCCTTGTCGCCCTTGACAGGGGCGACGTGGCCATTGGCGCCCGCCTTGGTGCTGCTGCTCGACTGTCGCTTCTCGACGTCGTTGAGGAGGTGTGTGGGGTCGTAGCAGGGCCTGGGGTGGGTGCACTTGCACAGCAATGGAGTGGGGTCGAGGGGGTCGGGGGTGACGGCCACCTCCTGCTTCTCGGCGCGTATGTACTCGATGTACTGGGTGAACCACTTGCCGTCGAGCAGGAAGTACTTGCCCTGGACGGGGACCTTGGGGTGGCCGCGGGGCACCTTGCCGTAGTGGTGGATGTCCTGCTGGTCGGGCACGTCGACGGGAATGGCCCCACTGCTGAGGTACAACAGCTCCGCCGTCAGCTCCTCCACCGTCTTCTTCCACTCGGCCCTCTCGCTGTGCTCGGTCTGGAGCCGGTCCTTGCACTCGGGGCAGGGCTCGTTGGTGGCCCACAGCGGCTCCCCTCCGTGGCTGGTGCAGTACTCGATCACAGGCGCCTTGGCCACGCCCAGCAGCTTCTCGAGCACCTCCCTCTGCTTGCCGTTGTTGGCAATCAGACGGTGGATGTAGTCGACCCTCACCTCAGCCTTGGTGGCGCCCTTGGCCTGCTTCACACCGGGGCCCTTGAGCGTAGGCAGCAGCCGACCGTGCTCGCAGATGATGTTCTCGTGCAAGATCTTGTCCTTGCTCTTCATCGGACCTGCCGCTGGGGGTGGTGCTCCTCCCGCCTTGCCACCCGCTGCAGCACCACCGCCCTCGTCGCCTGCGGTGGCACCCCTGCCACCCTCACCGCCATCCCCGTTTGCCTGCTCGGCCTCAGGACCACCACCCTCACCACCACCAGCACCACCGTCCGCCGGCTGATCGTCCGTGTCGAGTTCGATGGGGTCGTCGTTGGACGCCCCGTCAGCTTCAGCAGCGCCGCCGTCTGGCTTGTCTCCTCCTCCTTTGTCGTTTGCCGCCACTGGGTCGTCTCCCAAGCCACTCTGCATGGGCTGGTCGTCGTCCTCGACGTCGATGACCATCTCATCGGCCGCGCCGCCCTCGTTGTCGGCTTTCTTGGCCTTGTCTGTGTGGTCAAGGTTGGCTGTGGTAGCGGCGTCCTTGAGCTGGTCGGGCCGTGGCTGCTCCTGCTCCTTTCGCAGGGCGGCCACGAGCTTGCGTGCCTCGTCGTGGAGCTGCTGGTGGGAGAATGTGGGTTTGGGTGGGTCCTTGGTCTTGGCGTTCTTGTTGCCCCTGACGTCTGTCTTGACGCCGACCTTCTGGGCCCACTCGTTGACGGGCTTCTTGTTGATCCACACGTTGCGGCTGTCGGCGGCTGTCCTCTTGGTGGTGGCGGCATTCTTCCTCACGTCCATGGCAATGAGGTAGAAGAGCTCCCGCTCCTCACGGATGAGCTGCGCCAACCGCCACAGGCCCCACGTGCAGGGCAGGCACATGGCAGCCTTGGCCGACACGCCCTCTATCGCCTTGGGACGCACCAGCGGGGGCTCACCGTTGAAGATGATGGACAGGACTGACTTGGGCAGCAGCTTGGTGCGACCGTCAGACACGCTCAGGGGGTCGATGCCGCCCTCCCAGCTGCCGAAGCCATTCAGCTGCCGAGACATACTCCTCTTCCAATCCTGAATGAAAGCCGACAGAGGAGGGGGGAG